AATTGCAGTGCAGATCAACACGACCAAGCAAAAATTGTTTGCAGGCCTGCAATCCGTTGCCTTCACTTTTTGAACTTAAGTTCACACTCCAGATATATTTCTCACTCTAGATTTATATGGTGCTCACTTGTGTAAGTCGTGATATACCTAAGTATAATAAATATTATGGCATTATATTTATTAACACTTAAAATACTCATTAATAATTCATAAACCTTGTGGCAAACATGTCAGCCATATAATATGTCACGTGGAGTGACTATATATCTGATAAAGCATGTGGCATTATATAATTGTTCATCCTCATTAGTATGATTATATAATGAAGGATTATATAATGAATCATCCTAATTAGTATTCTTTTGTAGTCGTATTTTAAGCTATTCAAAACACTCGGCGTTTTCGTGTTTTAAATAGTACTTGTATATTGACTAGGACCGAAAGAAACAGTATATATTTTGTGCACTCGAGATTGCCAATGTTTTTTTTCAGACTTGGTATATACAAATAAATAGATACTAATTTATTTAGCAACTGCAACAATATTGAGAGGTCAGCCCCCCCCCCCCCCAAATTGGCATGAAATTTTTAACAAGGACTGCTCTCGATTTCAAGATCGACTTGTCTATATTTGAATTTTGTGTTATTGAACATGCAATTATGGTTATATCATAAGCTCGACTCGTGGGTGAGCTGACCAGTCATAGGTGGGGGGGGGGACAAAAATATTCTGGGGGAGAATTCCCCCAGACCTCCCTATTATTATAAAATCATATATACGACACCACACCTAACGTTTTGGAGACTTATTAGGAGCGAATTAAAAGTGACCTACAGACTGCATTTCAAGAACTTAAAATAGGGTTATATGCATGGCAAAAAAAATAGAAAAAATGGTTGTCGAACTTGCACTTGCAAAAGTAAGTGAATATTATAATCTACATGCAGCTGCATGAGCGACTGCATATAACTTGCAGCAGGAGTCAAGTGGTTGTATATCATTAAACGCAACATATACACGACGTATACCTACCTAGTATATAGCTGGTGCATGATTTGCGAAAATAAACTACACGTTTATGTAACCAGGAGGATTCAGTTGTATTTTTGAATATGCAATTATGGTTATATCAGAAGCTCGACTTGTGAGTGGCTAATCATATATGCGTCGAACTAGCTAACGAGATGCGCAAAGCACTCATCACTTCAGACTCTGATTCAATTACTCTCTACAGACTCTACTGTATTTTAGAACTTCCAGTCTGTTCACTACTAAGTATACGATCGAAGAAACTAGTGTTGCTTAATTTAAATATATAGTTCTGCATATATAGGAATCATGAGCTTAAGTCGTATGATAACTGACGACGACATGCTTGCGTGCAAGCACACCATGCCACCACTGCTCTTACTATTATACCTGATTTACTTCTATAATAACACACGACATGATTATTTCAAACCTATATTATTTGTAAATCTTTCAAATGTTGTAATGTAATTTGGTGCTAAAACAAATAACCGAAAATTTCAATATAAAGGTTTGATTAAAATTATTACAATAATATACGGTCAGTTTTTTGAAATAAAATTATAGTGGTTTTAAAATATATTCTCTTTAATTTTTCAGCACAATAAATTTTTTCTTTGCTTTGGTGGAAAGTCTTGTCCCTTCGAATCTGTTATTAATACTGTTCTAATATTGCTTTATTTACAGGTGCTCCAATATGTCCAGTTCATTTGTGTAAACAGCGTAAATGTCGTTATGGGTTTATGAAAGATAAGAATGGTTGCCCAACTTGCCAATGTAACATTAGACGTAAGCACTGCAGTAATATAGCCGCGATGCATGTGTACCATGGTTCTCTTTTACCATTTTAAAATGAAACACACCACATATAAGAAATAAATAAATCAAACTTGAACAATTAAATCATATTATAACTTACAGTTATAGAACGTACAGCCCCTCCCCCTTAATTGCTTGACGTAATTCAAGATTTTTTCAAATTTTGGCGCCATTTTGTTATTTTCCGTGCAGACGCGGATTTGTGCGGCGCTCTCACTATATCCAAAATCTGTTTCAGAAAACGCACGAAATAAGTCCTAGGGGTAAAAAAATACAAAAATGTTCTGGGTGATCGAGAATTCCTCGTGGAGGACACCTCCCTACTATTATACAATCATACAACACCACATTGAACTTTTAGTCACCATGGAACAACCATCTGTCATCTCTTCACAGTTCACACTCAGTATATAATAATATGGTCCCTTTCTGTAGATGCCGCCTTCCCCACTGACGAATTCTTAAAAAAGGCTCTGCTACATGATGCAGCACTGAAATGATTTCTCTACAAATATTGCTTTATATTTTAACAGCACCAATCTGTTTACCTCGCTTCTGTATAAGGCCTTGTCCCCTTGGATATGTTACCGATAGAAATGGTTGTCAAACTTGTATTTGCAAACGTAAGTTAACTTAACTTGTTTTTAAGTAGTGACATACCCAGGTATAATATACAAATAATGAATGTTTATGAGTGCAATGGTAAGAATATTTTCATGAGGTGAAAGATGGAATGTTCCATTCAACGAGGCGACAGCCGAGTTGAATGGAACATTCCATCTTTCACCGAATGAAAATATTCTTACCATTGCACGAAGAAACATTCATTATTTGTTTTATATAATACCAAAATAGACTAATAGATTTGTATGAGAAGCATTTTGAGGGATGCAATTTATCGAAAACACAAAGAGTGCAATTGTACTATACGTTTTATTCCATTGCACTCGGGGAGAGTGCAATGGAACGTGTTCATTGCACTCTTGGGAAATGGAATTTTTTATTCAATATCACGTGACCATAAACAGCCAATTAAATGATTAGAATTTAATAAGGTATTATATAATATATATTATGGCATTATATTTGTTAACACTTATTGACTAGGACCGAAAGAAAAAGTAGCCTATATGTTTTGTGCACTCGAGCCTGCCAATGCTTTTTGCAGACTTGGTATATAGAAATAAATAAATAAATATCTGCAACAATATTGAGGGGTCAGCCCGCCCTCCCAAATCGGCATGAAATTTTTAACAAGGGCTGAGATGCCCCCCCCCCCCCATGAGCCCCCCTCTTCTACAACCCTGAGTGTAATAATATAGCAACAACTACTGCTCTCGATTTTAGGATCGACGCGTCTATATTTGAATTTTGTATTACTGAGCACGCAATTATGGTTATATTATAAACTCGACTCATTGGTGAGCTGACCAGTCTTAGGGAGGGGGGGGGGAATACAAAAATGCTCTGGGGGAGAATTCCCCCTGATCTCCCTATTATTATAGAATCATATATAAGACACCACACCTAACTTGTTGGAGACTTATTGGGAGTGTCCCTCATCTTTATGCATAACCTCTTATACTAATTGTCCCTCATCTTTATGCATATAACCTCTTATACTGTATTGATGTTCAATTAAATATTTTTAACAGAAATGAAAAATCAAATCAAGGGTAACCTCATTAACGAACATCCCAATAATCATTAGTATCAAAAAGCAAACGCGCCTTTTCATTCCAACTTATTCAATCGAATGAAACCGTACGATGTTATAAAGTGCATTCATGGCATTATACGGTCGATTAGTGATGAAATGTCCCTCAAGCCTCGAGAAGTTTAGTAAAAGTCCCTCCGGCGCTGCGCGTCTCGTGGCTTTTACTAAACCTCTCTCGGCTTTCGGGTACTTTTAATCACCAATCGCCCTGAATGCCATGCTATTACTTTAATATAATTAATAATATAATGCAGTTTTAATGCGTGCTTTTTTTCATTGCCATTGGCTTTTAATATTTTACAGCTATATTCAGAGGTTAATATGACAGCAGGAATGGATTGCTCATTAATTCGTAGTAGACAAGAATGCATGTGGTTAAACATTTATATTTGACATTTTCTTTTATGTATACGTACGTATGCAATGTTTTTCATGTACTTGCTTATTTTTAGTTGTAATGTACACTTTAATATGTAAACCTTTTTCAATTTTGAATAAATTAAAATGTGTTACTCAAATTGGTGACCGTTCAATTATTGTGATTTTTCGTCATGATTTTCTATCCCACGGTATCGGCACCTACAGTACCAAATGAATACTTATAAGTGGATTATAACGTCAATTTCACCTGGGTCTAGGGTGAGAGTTGGAAAGCGCTCAGTGTCGGACTGCAATAATAACTGAAATCTCGCAAAGCAAAACATATCTAGTTAACCTATACCCAAGTTACCCAAAATGCACTCCCTTTACGATTCGTGTTCTGTCTTTATTTTGATTTCCGTAGGAAATGCAAACAAACTGACCTGCTGGTCAGAGGGCATGCAGGGGAACGCCAAAATACTTGACATTATACATAAGTCATGCAAAAGCACCAAGTGACTGTTTTCTGAAGATTCAATAACTAAGTTCTTTTTGAAAAACTTGCAATTAATTTTTGTGTTTGGAATAAGTAAATTTAATCGCATCTTTCGCACTACATTCGGACGAAAACACAAATTAAAGCGGCAGGCATTGTTCACGAAAAAACCCCTTTGTTCTTTTTAATTTCATCGACTTTTTAAGCTATTCTGTATAAATAGGCATGTTATACAGGGTGTCCAGAAAAAAGGTATACCTATTTTGAAACCGACCTGATCAACGCAAAACACAAACAATACAGGAAACCCAATGACAATCCATTGTACATCAACAGACACTCAAACCATCCACCAAGCATTACAAGACAATTACCTACGGCTATCAACAAACGCATTGCACTTCTCTCATCGGACGAACAAACATTTAAGGAATCTAAACCTATTTACCAGAACGCTCTTAGACATAGTAACTTTGATCACGAATTTACGTACACTCAGGATGCACCGCAACGGACACGTAGGAATAGGCACGCAACATAATTTGGTTCAACCCACCAGTTAGTAAGAGTGTTAACACGAACATAGGATGGGAATTCTTAAGTTTAATTGACAAACACTTCCCACTACAGCACAAACTACACAAGATTTTCAACAGAAACACTTTAAAAGTAAGCTACAGTTGCATGAACAACGTTAAGTCTATAATCACCAAACACAACGCACATGCATATATAATTAGGAACAGTCAATCACAGAATACGGAAACTGACAACTGTAACTGCGACAACAAAAACACTTGCCCACTACCGAAACAATGTATGACTAACAACATTATTTACAAAGCTACAGTCACAACGAACAACACGAACGACACTAAACAGTACATTGGTATGACAGCGACTACATTTAAGGAACGTTACGCTAACTTCATCTTCTCGTCATAAAAAAGACTCAAGCAAAACGGAACTTTCGAAACATATTTGGAAATTAAAAGAAAACAATCACGATTATACCATCAAATGGTCAATTTTAAAACACGCTATTTCGTACACAGGGGGATCAAAACGCTGCAATTTATGTTTGGAAGAAAAATTTTGCATTTGAAAGACATAAACAAAGATAATTTACTCAATAAAAGATGCGAAATTTTCGGCAAGTGCCGTAAAAAAAAACGGTTTCGAGTAAACAAGGCCGTTAACAAAATTTTATGACCCAAGCATTGTTTCGACTAAGCACTGTTTCGCCTAAGCATCAATTGTTTCGCCTAAGCATTGTTTCGCCTACACGCATTCCGCGCAATCTTTCGATAGCATAAAAGCAACCTACATTTTCGAAATTACTCACCACCTGATGATTCCTATACGGATGAAACAGACTGGATATGAACAAGAACTAGATGTTCTAGGCATAAACGAAACAAGACTTAATTGACCTCCCAACAAATCTTATTTCTATTGATGGTTATACACGGGTGGCCACAAAAAGAAACAGATCAGGAGGAGTGTTGTAGGATTCTATGTTAGAAATACAATCAACTTTCCTGAAAGATTCGACTTAAATAACAATGAGATTGAAACTCTTACTATTAAAATTTCAAAACCTAAATCAAACCATTTCTCATAACCACTTGGTGCAGACAACCGAATTCATCAATTGACAAACTTCAGAAATTTGAAAACGGCTATTGCAACTAATTGATACTGAAGATAAAGAAAGCACTAATGGGAGACATAATTAAATTGTGACCTCATGCATGGCTAAGGACTCGATCGATACGAACACAACAGAATTAAAATTTCTTATAGATTTGTTCCAATATAGTCAAAAAGTTGATGAACCTACAAGAGTCACTACGAACACTCAGACCTTAACAGATCATTTTTATTCAAATAGACCTGATTATATAACTTCAGCCGGAGTAGCAAAAATAACAATTAGTGATCACTATTTAGTATATGGTGTTCGTAAATTTCCAAGCCTAAAAGGCATTTCTCAACTATTACAGTGTATTTGTTCAAATCCAATCAAGCTGTCAATCCTTGGGCATGGGAGGGGAAATTTTGGAGAAAGAAAAAATGTGACAAATAAAGTGGGGGCACACCTGTAGGCCTGACTGATTTTCGGATTCAAATCATCTGAAGAGTGCTGCATGCTACCAAATGTTTTTGGTGTTTGCACAAAATGACATCATAGGGTACACAGACTCCGCTAAATCATAGGAAAAGGATACTTGCCCTCATTTTGAAAAAGGATACTTGCCCTCAAAAACAATAGTCAATACTACGTTTGACCACAAGTTTTATTCTTGTTATTAATCTGAAACAAAAATTCCTGTCATTTGGAGAACATGTCTATGAAGAAAGCCATTTGAAGTCCAGTTGAAAATTTTTGCCTTTTGCTTGGCAAAAAATAAAATAATATTTGCTGACAAATAATTAACCTGGTTAGTAGACTCATGGGAAAACTGTCACACAGGCTAGGAAATAATATTTGGATTAGTCATTTAATATATTTGCTATCAAACCTAATCAAACAGTTTCTTTACAGATTACAATGTTTGTACATTAGCAGCAGTAATTGCTAAATTATTTACACTGAATCTCTGGTACAAATTAAATAATTTGTCGACTGATACATTTTGTATGTTCACTGCATCTCAAGCTCAGAGGCACTGAGGCAGTGCACCTAGCATTCTAAAATTGGAGATAAACAAATTTTCAAATTTAAATATTTGTGTATATTGTATTGTATTCTGGCCAATACAAAATGCAATAACTAGAACACAACAATTTATCAGATAAAGGCAAATATAAGTATTAAAAACTGTATTATGTAATATTTACATTGAATTTCGTGGTTGAAGTTGTAAATTTATACTTGGAATTTTTGAACAACAAAACAAGAAATTTTCGCTTTTATTTATGTTAAACTTTATTTATGTTGTTACTTTGTTCGCCATTCAGCCATTCTTGCTTATCTACAAATAAAAATAATCCATTTCTTCTTTTGTTCTTTTCAAACCAGCCCAGAATTTGGTTTAAAAGGTATTTTAATTCATGCAGAAACGTTAACCCGCATTTAACTTTCGTAGTTTCTAAGATATCACCCGCGGGTAAGCGGGTTAATGACTAATAACTTTCGGTACTTTCATTGTATTTGCATTGACCAATCAACTCACGTTCTGAGTTGAATTCTCCCAGAGCTTCTGGTGAGCAATAAGCGCAGACGCCCAGGGTACGAGGTTGCTCCTGTGCTTGCGGAGAACTTTGTGAATAAGAATTTCAAATCCACGATTTTGTTCCCATGCATAACGAATTAGGCGGCATTATTTTTTCCATGCCGACGGAATTCTGATGTTGGCTGTACTCTCAGACACCTTTGGACGCAACATCGTACCAAGGCTATTTACTCTCACACTCCGGTGCCACGGTCACCTCAAAAAGACCCTGGGTACGAGGATGCTTTGGACGAGGGTTGTGTTGGTTAATGGTTGGTGTGCAGAGGTATACCAAAATTTGAACTTCAATGCATGTTGAAAAAATACATTACATGGAAGTGTAGCAGTGTTATTATAAACATTTTCAGTATTGCTTTTAATGCTCCATTCTAAAATCGAATTTCTGTGCAAAATGACTGTATTTTATGCAAAAATATCTATGTCATGCACGCATTAGGATTGTAACTCAGTGTTCCTTCAAGACTTCCATAATTCATATACTATATCTATATGTATCAAACAGGATACTGACAAGTGTTGGATGCATCAAGAGTAAATACCATATATATTGCGGATCATTGCCAGTTTCAAGTGTAAGAGTTGAGAGTTATATAGTTGTGCAAGACAGAAACAAGTCGATCAAAGGTAAAATATTTATAGACTTAGACAAGAATATTTATATCACATCTAACAGTGCGACAGCTATATAGTTGTAATACAAGCCTGTTTCTAGTATGAATTATTGAAAAAATGCTACTTGTGGTTCACTGATGGTTTAGACTTGGTAACGTGTAGTGCCCTACGGGCCTTAGAAAATTACATATTGCAAATATGCTATCTCATGTAATCTTGTTTCACTTTGGCATTTAGATTGTATGAGTGAGAAAATATAAAATTAGAGGAATGCATGTGATAGTCAAGATAGTTGCAAGGGAATAATACCACTAGCGTGGTATTTAACAGCAGTTTTTGGTTGCTTTCGTAGATATTTCCAAGAATGACCTATTGAGGTGTGCGTTCGCCCTTGTTGTCATGGTAAGTATTTGTACTGATGATGGTAACTTGTTATCTTACAGAAATTATAAATGTTTGCATCCTTTGAATGTTTGCACCAAATTTTTACGATATGCATTGGTATATGCTTTGCATAAGTATATATACAATATACCTACGATTGAGATTTACAGCAGACCGCAAATGGCAAACTTCTGTCTTAAAACTTCAAACCATATTTAAACAGTTGGCTGTTTGATTTGTGTGTTACAATTGAAGCATGAGTAAGGTTTCTACTTAGGCTAGCGAAATCTTGTAGAACGTAAACCATCAAATACGACTGATCAATTTTAAGTTTGGTTGCGGTTAGTATGCAGGCGGTTGCGGTTAGTATGCAGGTAGTAATTTTTCAACCGTTATAAAAATATTTGAAAAGCTATAAGACTAAGGATATAGACCTCCCCCGTAAATAAAAAGAAACTTTTATTTATGAATACTATACCGTTTAATAATTTGGGTTAAAGTCAACGGAGAATTTTAGAAAGCTTGAAAAATCATAAATTGCTGTGGATGTATAACGCTATTCAGCCTTCGTATACAACCGACCAAGTTAAGGTCTCTAATAAAACATTACTGAGGATTGAACAGTGCTTGTCAATGCATGATTTATGATAACTCAATTAAGAATATTATTGCATTTAAAAACGACTATAGAACACAAGATATAAAAACACAAAATAATTCTATTTCATGTCTTGGTAGGAGACATTTGTAGCAAGGTGACTGGCTGTAGGCTGGAAACAAGGGGGAAACGAGTGTGTTCCCCTATTGAAAATTATAGTCAGTGTTGAATAGCGCTGGTGAGTGCATCTCTCTCTCACAATAATAAGCCCTGTACTCTTAATATAAAAAAATTTAAGCACCTGTCACTGTTAATCCCACCCCCTCTCTCACGTGAAAGAAATTCCGGCTTCTCTACTGGATAATTTTTATTCACTAAAAGAAGCTCACGTTATATGATCCATGCACTGGCCTATAACATAGAACAAAGGTAACTTTATAAGCATTATAATTATATATAGGCGTTCTTCACTCATGTGGATAATTCTAATGCCTATATACTGATATATAATTACCTTTACCGAGGGTCTTGAAGGAGGAGCGAAATCCAAAACTGAATGATTGTCAATATAGAATACGATAGATTATGTTTTCATCTCTGTTTGTCAATATTATATATATATATATATATATATATATATATATATATATATATATATATATATATATATATATATATATATATATATATCTTGCATGCATGCATGCATGCATGCATATATAGAAACAAGGGTGTTAATTCTGGGGGTAAGGGGGTCATAGAGCGGAGGGTCATGCCTATGTGTGATGCATTGGCATCTCTCTACATTTTGAAGACGTGAATAAATTAATACACTAATATACTTATTCTAAAATCATTAATAATTAATCAGATAATTATCCAATGAAGTTTGTTGTATATATAGATATAGACGGACAGCGGTCATACTCACGGACATGCGCATTAGATATGTAGATCGGCTATGCTTATCAGTGCCGTAGCAAGCTCGATAATTGGGGGGAGGGGGGGCAGATATTCATATATTCGTGTTCACAGACCATAAAAACAATCGATTTCTAAAGAAATTAATAACGCAGAACACGAATATATGAATGTTTGCCCCCCCCCCCAATTATCGAGCTTGCTACGGCACTGATGCTTATGTTTTATTCATATTTTGTTAAAAGTATAAATCGAAATACACGACAGTGGCGACGAATTTGGGATTGTTATAAGTCCAGAAATGACGACGATTAGAAAAATTGATGTTTTTTATGAAACCCAAGAAAGCTGGGAGACGTATGTCGAAGGAGTACAACAGTTTTTTGCAGCAAACGATGTCGACGACAATCATGCCAGATCAAGATACCAGAAATCGACCCATACCATCGAGCAGGAACCAGATGAGTATGGGGACTTTTTGAATAACCTAGAATTTTTATAATGTAAACAAATCAAGCAGTGACGATGTCATATGGGTTGACGTGAAAGTTGAAAATCAACCATTATCCATGGAACTAGACACAGGATCGGCAGTGTCCATTTTGCCATGTGACATGTTCTTGAAAAGATTTCGCGACAAGAAGTTAAAGAAAACAACCACTGTACTACAGACCTATACTGGTGAACTGATCGTTCCAGTTGGTTGCCTTACCGTGCAGGTTGAATACTTAGATCAAGAGATCAATCATTTCTACTGCTCCTCCATGTGGTCTAGACTAAGGGTCCAGTGTTAATGGGGTGAGATTGGCTTCACAAGCTTCGCCTCGACTGGAGAACCATTAAGTTGTTGAAATCCTCAGATCCCAGCCATGAAAATACTGGAACGACGTACACAAGAGGAGCTGAAAGACCTTTGAAGACAAGCTGGGTACTTTCAAATCTGCTAAAGCAAGGATAACCCTCAGAGAAGGTAGTCAACAGCAGTTTGGCAAAGCTCGTCAGGCTCCATATTCCTTACGACTAAAAGTGGAGGAAGAATTGAAGAGACTTCAGAGCGAAAGAGGAAGGGGGCGTGGGAAAGAGTTTTCCAAGATGGACCTCCGCCAAACTTACCATCAGATTGAGTTGGAGGAGGAATCCAAGAAAAACCTTACAATTAATACGTCCACGGGCTTGTTTCAATACAATCGACTGGTGTTTGGTAATTACCTCGGCTCCTGCCATTTGGTAGCGTACCATGGGTCAGATTCTGGAAGGAACTTCTGGTATTAGTTGTATCCTAGATGATATGATTGTGACGGGTAAGAGCGACGCGGAGCATATGGCTAACCTGGAGGAAGTTCTTCGACGTCTGCACCACCATGGGTTAAGAGCCAATAAATCGAAGTGTGAGTTCATCAAGGAAAAGATCACTTTCTGTGGCCACGTCATTAATAGCGAAGGCCTGCACAAGACCACCGACAAGGCAGCTGCAATGGTGAATTCCCCTCGCCCCTAGAGTGTTACAGAGGTACGCTCCTTCCTGGAATTGGTGAATTATTACCACAAATTCCTGCCAAACCTTGCTACAACCCTGCAACCCTCCATTAAAACAAATACTGGAAAGTAACCACCTATGGATCTGGACAGCTAGATCAATGCAAAGAATCTTTAATTTTACAAAGTTAAAGCAATGATTGTTTCAGATCTGGTGCTTAAACATTATGGTCCTAACTTTCTCTTACAACTGGCTTGTGATGGGACACCTGTAGGAATCGGAGCGGTACTGTCCCATGTCATGGCAGACGGCACAGCGCAACCGATAGCGTTTGCATCGAGGTCCCTGTCGAAGGCAGAGCACAACTACGCCCAGATAGATAAAGAAGCGCTGGCTACAGTGTGGGAAGTCAAGAAATTTTACAATTACTCTTTCGGCGGGAACTTTACCTTACTGACTGATCATGAGCCTCTCACTTCAATCTTTCATCCCAGTAAAACCCTTCCTGCTGTCACTTCTGCTAGATTACAACGCTACGCATTATTATTGGCTGATTTTGAATATTCAATTACATGCAAGAACACTAAGTTACACAGGAATGCGGATGGTCTGTCTCGGTTGTCCTTGCATAGTGAGACAACAGAAGAAGAGCTAGATCCAGTGGGCCTCTTCTCTGCCACGCAGATTGAGCACTTGCCAGTCAGCAGGTCAAACGAGATACACAGAGCGATCTTCTATTGGTGAAAGCCCATGACTTGGTTATGAAAGGATGGTCCACTCCACAAGATGAAGAGATTAAACCGTTTTACCAGAGGAAAGACGAACTGACAGTTCACTGTGGTGTCCTAATGCTTGGATACAGGGCAGTCACTCCTGCAAAGTTGCGTAATCAAGTGTTAACCGAGTTTCACGAAGGTGACATGAAGTCTCTGGCGCGAAGTTATATCTGGCGGCCCAAAATTGATAAGGACATTGGGAACCCAACCAACCGCACCTTGGCAGAGGATCCATTTGGATTTTGCTGGACAGTTCCTAGGACGAATGTTCCTTATCATTAGATGCACACTTGAAGTGGGCTGAAGTGGATATAATGATATCCACCTCATCGACGCAGACTATTGACCGACTGCGAACCATTTTCGCCCGATATGGAGAGCCAGCACAGGTGGTGATCGACAATGACCCACGATTTACACCCGCAGAGTTGCAACTATTTTTGAAGAATAATGATATCAAGCATATTACCACGACCCCATTTCACCCTGCAACCAACGGTCAAGCGGAACGTTTTCTTTAGAGTTTCAAACATGCTATGAAATGCGAGAAACAAAGTACATCCCAGCTGAAAACCAATATGGCAAAGTTCTTTTTGGCTTACCGGAATACCCCGCATTCGACGACTGGAGAATCACCGTCCGTGTTGTTTTTGGGCAAGCCGCTACGGACTCGCCTCGATTTGGTGAGACATGATTCACAAATGAAGTTGATAAACAGCTTCTTCTCCTTCTCGGCAAGAAAGTGACGGCACTTTTGGCGAAAAGTCCCTTCAAACGGTGGCTTATAGCTCTAAAAGCCTGACCGCGACTGAACAGCGCTACGCTAAAATTGAAAAAGAGTGCCTCGTTATTGTGGAAGCCTTTAACAAGTTGGACCAGTGGCTTTTGGGTAAAGCTAACGTCACAATGCACACTGACCACCAACCTCTACAGTCTATCTTTCAAAAGGATCTTGCCTCAGCTCCGAAACGTCTTCAGAAATGATGCTCTTCTTGCAGCGTTATAGCTTCGCCGTCTTTTACCGAAAGTGCACCTCCCTCTACTTGGCAAATGCCCTCTCTAGAGCCCCGTGTGGAGAAAGTCCTAGGACTTCAAAGGAATCGGACATGTTCCAAGTGTTCCGGGCGCATATCAGTCAGGTTGATCCAGTTTCTACTTCGGTAAGAGACACGACTCGTGAGACATTGCACAGAGCAACTGCTGCGTGTTCAGACATGCAAACCCTGGAACATCGATCACATTATCCACGGTTGGCCTCCAATAAAGCAGCAGTTACCGAAACAACTCCAATCTTTTTGGAACTTCAGAGATGAACTCACCATCGCTGATGACCTTATACTCAACTCCACTCTCATCGTCGTTCCAGTGCCATTGAGAGCTGAGACATTAGTTAAGATTCACCAATCCCATAGAGGTCCAGAGTATTGCCTTCATTTTGCACGGGAGTCTGTTTTTTGGCCTGGAATATGGCAAACAAGCCGCCGCAGAGCCCATGTTAGGGACCTTCAGCAAATAGATGACAGCAACGCGACGACGACGGCCAAAACAAACTCGTTCAAATAAGTAACTTTAAGAACAACATGTCTTGCATTATCCGTTGTATGAATTTATTGCAGTTTAAGAAAGTTAAGACAGAGGTTTATGGTTGAGAAGGCTTCTACTAAGTCAACTTACCGAGGACGACTTCTCGCAGCTTGAATTGCAGACGTTGTATACAAAACGTGAAAAGCTTTGGTTAGCTGTTGTAAACAAAGCAAGGACGACGTCTAAAACTCCCAAGGGACCTTTAATTTTGACAGTTGTGCTATTTTAAATTCCCAGGCGCCTAAAATCTTTTGTCTTTAAAACAACGTCGATTTCTTGGGAAATTCCAAGGTTGCGTTTTTTTTATACACCCTGTACACTGTCATAAATTTCATTGTATTAATAGTCGTCGCCGTCCTGTTAGCTAAAGGTCCCTTATCACATCCAGTACCAACGTGTCCCTGGCAATGTGTATCACAAGATATATTTGAGCTCAACAAGATCTATTATCTTGTCACGGTGGACCACTATAGTGACTTTTATGAAAAGGAATGGAAAAGCGGAGGCTGCTGTTAAAGATGCTAAAATAAATCTGTTTTAAAGAAGTCACAAGATTACCATCTTGCCCTCCTTAACATACGCAACACCCCACCACGTGGTCATTCGTTTTCTCCGGCGCAACGTCTGATGGGAAGACGCATCCTACCACTCTAGTCTACCACTTTGCGGAGAACGCCTTTTATCAGATTCACCTGATCCCCGAACCACCCAAGAGTTTGCCAACCATCGACCAGCATCTAAGACCTCCTTGACAAAACAGTACAGTCTTTCCTGCCTTCTTTACTTATGGGATCATATGCATATGCAAAACCACGACCAACTCTGCGTGGACAACCGTGGACGTATGGTCGAATTATTAGCTCACCCTCTCCAGTCTCCACGGTCTTACAACATAGACTCAGGTAGTCATATTATTCGCCGAAATCGCACCCAGATTCGACCAACAACAGCACCATCCCACATTCCTGCAACCATACACCAGTCACTCCCCTCAAGATTCAATTGAAGATCTACCGCCTACCACGTCAGCTTTGGAACCTGATCCACCACCTGCCCCGTTATCTTCACAACCTGGTCAAGGTGAAGTTGTTACTCTAACCAAGGAGCTTCAGCAATCTACTATTCAAGTTCCATCTTACATTACCTGCGCTGGAAGAACCGTGCGTCCACCCAGCAGATTTAAAGATTATGAACTTTGTTGATTAAATTATTATTATTTGTCAGCACGGACAGAGAATGAAACAGTCTGGCATTATTTTTAAAATTTTTTTCTTACTTTTTTCTAAGTGTTAATCTTATAAATTGTATCTCACCGTTTGCAAAGGAGGGGAGATGTCATGAGTCATACTCGGAAGCTACCGATGATCTCCTGAGGGATGGGTTTTCATGTATGTGTTGGGGTTAGGGGATTATGGATTAAAGTGCATTACTCTTATATCTTTATGCTTACATACACGCATAACAGATTTACACTGTTCAAGTGTAGGCATATTTAACACCGAATAAGTGTATACTGTATTTACACTATAACAAAGTGTAATATAATGCCCAAATACGGTAATATTACACCTTTTTAATGTAAATTTACACTAAATTGGGTGTTAATATTAAACTGCGAGATTTACAGTGTGGACGATGCATTGCCATTGGCACACATCCTTTCAAGGGTTCTGGGGGTGAGAGATCTCCCCCAGAAAATTTTGAAATCTATAACACGATAACCTTAATTCGTGCATGCATCGGCATACACGATAGAATTTGTCGAATTTTACCTTGATAGTTTTTATTGTGTGGCTTCCATTTATTTCGGCTTCCAAGGTTAAACAAAACAATTCTAATTGTGTCCCCCCTAAAAGTTATCTTATGAAAAATAAGACCCTCCTGCTCTCTTCCTCTATTAATAATGAACGGTGGCCTTGAAGCATTGCCCTCTGGGATATGTTGCTAACAAATACGGGTGTCGAAATTACCAATGCATAGACATAATATTGACAAAATAAATATAAAATGTATTTCCTACATAAATATATATTCCACTAGCTTCGATTTCTTTAAAGAGTGCATGGCATAAATTACCCGTGAGTATAACGGTGAATTTTAAATTGATTTTTAATAAGATAATTAAAGCAGTTATCTTATTTGTAAGATAATAGCTCTGTAGATCATTAAACATATTGAGGTAATACGAAGAAACCAGTGTTGTTTAAATATATAGTTCTGCATATAGTAATCATGAACTCAAGTCGTATGATAACTGATGACAACATGCATGCGTGCTGCACATGCAACCACTGCTCTTATACTATTGTCTATTACCTCTATAATAACACAAGACATTATTTCAAACCTATAGTAGGCTATTTGTAAATCTTCCAAATATTGTAATGTAATTTGGTGGTAGAACAACCAAAAATTTCACTAAAATTACAATAATATGCGATCAGTTTTCGGAAATAAAATTAATTTTATAATTATAGTGGTTTTAAAATATATTCTCTTTAATTTTTCAGCACAATAAATATTTAGTTTCTTTGCTTGTGTGGAAAGTCTTGTCACTGTTCTAATATTGCTAATTTTTATTTAGGTGTCGAGCCAATATGTCCACCTCACTTGAATGTGTATACTGCGCCGTTATTGTCGTTATGGATTTATGAAATATAGGAATGGTTGCCCAACTTGCCAATGTAACACCAGACGTAAGCACTGCGGTAATATGTATTAGTTTGGTGATACATTATCACATGCATGTGTATCATGGTTCTCTTTGCCATTTTTAACTGGAAAACACCACATATAAGAAATAAGTAAATCAAACTTGATTTATTGTGTTTAAATCATATTAATTATAGTCTATATAGAAGGTACAGTCCCTCCCTCTGTTAAACTGAAGGGGAACTTCAGTCTCACAATAAGTTGGCTTAAATCAGAAAATATCATATATGTTTATATTAAAGTGTTCCTAAACTATTTCTGTCCAAAATTAAAGGGTAAGGAGAAATTGCTTGACGAAGTTCAAGATGTTTTCAAATTTTGGCGCCATTTTGTTGTTTTCCGTTCAGACGCGGATTTGTACGGCGCCCTCATTTGTGATGTCATCAGTGCGCGCTTCTGAACTGTACAAATCCGCGTCTGCACGGAAAACAACTCTACATTAATTCTCTACTATCCTATGTTACTAATCCTATGTTGCTACTATATATATAATTGACTCTGCGGAGGAGAGTGGTCTTTGCTCAAAACGCTTGCGAAAGCTTACGCGAACGGTTGCTTTCGCACGGCAAGAAGCATGACGTGAGAGGTTTTTAAAAGTCTTCGTATGTACACGTATATATCGTTCAGGTTCGATAGAATACAACTCACAATGAATTGTAGTCATCAAAAGCCCGACTCATTATCCTCAATATTTCCTCCAAAATTCAATGAAAAAGCAGCGAAAATATAACAGCAAGAAAAATGAATCACGCTCCTTGTCAATCTCGTTCCCCGAGCCTGCGATCCTCGGGAAGGAACGCGAGGCTCTAGGATAATCCGTTACCGGAAGCCAAGAATCCTGGCTAAGATTGAACTACGCATTCCATTTCAATGGCCAATCAGATTCCTCCCTGAAACGGATTATCCCAGAGCCTTCGTTTCCTTCCCAAGGATCGCAGGCTCGGGGAACGAGATTGGCTCCTTGTCAACTTTTGCCCATACTCGAT